GGTGGCCTAGTGCGAATATGTCAATGTTATTGGGTACATAGAATCGGTCTCAAAAGGTTTTAGCAATGCTCTACGCCACAGTAGTCTGGGTTGCTGTTAAGGAACTTAAGTTAAGTTACCATAATGGGTGTATATATATATATAGTAAATAATAGGGTTTCCCCAATATAGTAACTTAATTTAAGTTCCTTAACAGCAACCCAGTCTCAATCAAAGGGCCAGCACGCACGAAGAACCAAACGGTTTGTGCGATCTGCCAGCTGCAGAAGAGAAGTTCCAATGGCTCCTCCGGGCAGGGTTGGGCCGGGGAAAATGTTTAAACGGCTTAAACGAACCTATGTTTAAACACAAAATGCTTAGACAGTTTAACCTCCTCAGTGTTTAAACGGTTTAAACCGTTTGAACGGCGGTTATGCTAGTACGTAGGTGGGATATCACAGCGATGCGTTTTGTGGAGCCCTCTAAAAACATGGGGGGGGGGGGAGTGCGACACTCCTTGTATACCCCTACTCCTTGTATTCTCCTCATGTACCCTTAACATGCCCCTTATATACCCCTAACATGCACATTATATAATTATATGCCCCTTAACTTGTTATAGGTAGCGTTTTCTTGGACCCCTCTAAACGCATAAGGGGTGAGATAAGGTTATTGAGGGGTTAGGGGGGGTGGTTCAGGCCATGAGTCTTTGATCGTGCGTTTAGAGAGCTCGAAAACAAGCACTCAAGGGCCATGAAGGGTTTATCTAAAGAGTGCATGTAGGGGCCATATGGGCTATTATATAGGCAGGATATAACGACTGTTAGAGGATATGTGCCGTGCGTTTTCTGGACCCCCAAAAACGCATGGGAGGAGGCCTGGAGTCTTTGAAGCCCTTGGGCCTTGCGCGTTTAGAGAGCTGCCAAAAGTGCATTCAGAGGGCTCAGTATGTGAAAATCCAAACCACCTCCATACGCCCCAAATATACTTATACATCAGAGCCTCAAGACGGTGGATGGATGTTGCAGCGTCCCTTATGTTCGGAATGCTTAAACCCGTGCTACCCAGAAAATGTTTGAACGGTTTAGACGTATCCCAGCAGGAATTGTTTAAACATTGTTTAAACGGTGATTCAACAAGACATGTTTAAACGGTTAAAGTTTAAACCCACCAAAATGCTTAAACGTTGAAACCTACGCATGGTTCGGAGCGACCCTGCCTCCGGGGGCGGCTTGTACAGCTCTCGGTCGGCAACAGGAGCCGTTGAGTTGGTTAAGGCGAGCCCACGAAGGCGGCGATCGGCAGAAAAGACTGTTACGCCACCTGAGCCATTGTCTAAACTCCTAGTATCCCCCTTAATAGCCCCTATAGTAGTCCCTTATATAATCCCTTATATAACCCCGCTTTAAGGAGTTTAGAACCTAAACCCTAAACCCTATATAATCCCTTATAGTAACCCCCCTTCAAGGAGTTCAGACTATAGCTCACCTTGCACGACGGTCTCGTCGTAGGCGTTCTTGGGGCAGAACCTGGGTTGCTGTTAAGGAACTTAAACTAAGTTACTACATTGGGGAAACCCATAATGGGGTTTGGGGTTTAGGGTTTAGGGTGTAGGGTTTAGGGTTTAGGGTTACTGTATTGGGGGAACCCTATTATTTACTATATATACCCATTATGTTAACTTAATTTAAGTTCCTTAACCCTAAACCCTAAACCCTAAACAGCAACCCAGGAACAGGGCAATCTGGTTCTCTGCTGCCGGGTAGGTCGCGAAGGTCTCCATCGTCGCCCCCAGCACCGTGGTGCAAGCTGCATCTGGGTTATCCTGGTTTAGGGTTTAGGGTTTAGGGTTTAAGGTTTAGGGTTTAGGGTTTAGGGACTTAAATTAAGCTACCATAATGGGTATATGTAGTAAATAATAGGGTTTCCCCAATGTAGTAACTTAATTTAAGTTCCTTAACAGCAACCCAGTCCTTGCCGGTGCAAAGGAAGGCGGTGCTCGCGAAGAAGGAGATTGCTGCTGACATCGACGCCACAAGCGCGGCTATGTTGATGTTGCAAGCAATCTTCTTGTCAATGTTCGTGAACCCTCCAGGGCAGTTCTCCACGGTTTCACCCATGACAGCGGCCCATTGAATGAGCTTCCACAGCCCCAGGTTGAGGTTCGTAACGCAGAGTGTGATCTGATCATGCCGGATGTTGTTGATGCCCCATTTATCCCTGAACTCTGCTGCCTTCTCTTTGGCCTCGTCCACGGGAGTAGGCGGCAAGGTGAGATGCGGTATTTCAAAGGTGTCGTCGTCTGCGAGGCCAACGAACTCCAAGCTGCTCCGGTCAATCAGGTGAGATCGAGTTGCCAAAGCAGTGGCGGCAGCCCCAAGAATGAGCCCAAGAGCAAGAGCTGCTCCGATGGCTCGAAGGGGCACCGCAACCACAGCTGCTGGCCTCGGCTGCTCGTCATCGGTCTGTGCAAGTCGGGTCTGTGCAAGTCGGGCCGACATGGGGAGAACGTCCTGGCCGGAGGGGCAAAGCTTCAGATGGCTTTGAGACGGTTCCAAATAGCTACATTGCACACAAGAATGCAAGAGCACCACACTTCCTGAAGAGCATCACCATGTCACAATGCGAAGCCCTTCAATGGCCGAAGTCAAGCGTCTTGAAGTTTCCCGCTACTACCTGAGGTCCATCTCGGTTCTTTGATCCCTGTTGATGCCAAAACCTGACCCTAGACCCTAGTCGCTTTTCCCCACCTCCTCGCCATCACTCTCGCTGGTTTCCTCATCCTTCCGACAGCCAGGGATAAGTGTTCTGGGCTTAGAGCTTTGGGCTAGGGGTTAGCATTAGGGCTTCGGTTTTAGCGCTTAGAGTTTACGGCTCTTGATTCACAGGATGTAGGGTCTCATCATTGACGTACTATGTATTATCCAACTGTTACTGGGCGGGGGCAGTACCAACTTGTAATGCAAACGTTTCACGGTGTGGGAATTGGGGCAGGAAGGACGTACATGGAAGGATCCAGGCCCTCATACCCCAAACATGCCAAAATCATAGTCAAAGCCGCGACTGCCTCAAAACCTAAACCCCCTGAACCCTTAAACCCCTAAACCCTAGCCACGAAAGCAAAAAATTCTAGAAGGGATCTCGTCCCTCTGACCCAGTTGGGTATTTGTTGCATATGATGGGCACAACGTGGATTCTCTACTCTGGCCGCCAGAGATCTTGCAACACTTACTGTAAAATCCCCAAAATACGGTAACTACTTAAGCCCCCATGCCCCCACAGCACTCTAAACCCTAAACCCTAAACCCTGAACCAGTTCAGGGTGTAAAGTCGCGTATACTTTGGCTCCTGGCACTCGTCGCCTGCAACAGCGCCGGAACACCTGAGAACAGGCTGACAATGGGGCCTTAGCGTTCTGATTTGGGTCTGGGGTTTTAGGGCTCAGGGTGTGGGGTTACAACCCTAAACCATAAACCCTTAACCGTTCTTGAATACCTGGACATTTCAAAAGGAGAACAAAGTTTGTACACAAAGTCCACGAGACTGGGCTAAGGGCCGCCGCAGCTTTCAAATATGCCAGGAAGCATAAATAATCTGTGGGTTATATAGGGGTTATATAGGGATAATGGAAAACAAAACGGAAACTATTATGATAATGGGTTATAGAGGGGTCACATCTGACATCCAAATACCCTAAAACAGTGTATCCAAACAAGTGCTTCACACTGCCTCGGTCAGCGAAACACGCTGGCCGCACATATGGAAAAGAAGAGTCTCAGCAGAGTTATAGCGTTAGGGTTGAGAGGGTTCAGGGGTTGTCAGGGCTGACTGGTCATGATTCCTTCTTGAAATACAAGGAAAACGGTGCAACGCCAATGAGCTAAAAAAGGAATTGTTGCGGCTTGGGGTGGAGGAACTTCAGAGTTTGCAGTAGGATTTCATATTTAGGATCTGCCACGAAAAGTCCGCGTTGTAGAGTTTAGTGTAAAGGTTGTCGGTTGTACGGCTTCAAGTTAGGGCCTACTTTTACTTTTGCCATCACTATTGCTTTTATTTGTACCATTTAGCAGTGCTGTTACTATGTTTGTCTCTATTACTTTTCCTGTTCCTTCTGATTGTACTACTATCGCCTTTGCTGTTAATATCACGACTACTTCCCTTCCTATGACTCATATGACCATCACTACTACGCTTAGTCTCACGCTTACCCCAACTATAACTACAACTATTACATACTATTGATATTACGGCAACTGATACTTTTACATCTAGAATCGCTATGGTCAGTACGATTACTAGCCATATGGTATTGCCAGTAAGCTGGAGGCGTCAAGGTGAGCAGTAGTCTTCAAGAGTATGGGGTTCGGGTTTAAGGTTCTTCTGCAGTGGACGCCCATAGACCTACCTCGTCTTTTTCGCATCATATCTCTTGTAGATTTCGTTTTTGAAATAGTACCCTTTCAGTCCAAAATGGAGTAGGGCGATTGAGCAATCGCCACTCCTGCTGATACTGAGTCCACCCGACATGCAGCAAAAGCGGCGCATGTTCCATGCTTAAGTCAATGGGCTCCCTCCGTTTAAGCCCTTTCTAGCTATCCCCCGCTAGGAATGCGGAAATGCAGGGAGGCAGTTGACCTTCAATCCCCAGCAGTACTCAAAGAAACGTGACGCATCTCTGACTGTTATCTTGTAATTACAAGGTGTCTCATGAATTTGAGGGCTGAATATCATTTTGGGGGGCCCTTAGTAAGATTATATTCTGTATAGAAAATACTATACTCAAAACGAGGACATGATCTTACTCTAGATTGGGTACCATAGGAACTATAGTACCCCCCACCTGTAAGTCACCACGCCCTTTCCTCGAAAGCGACTCCAAAGGAGCCACAAGGTTTTGGGTTTAGGCTGTACCTTTGTGTTTTGGTTGAGTAGAGCCAGCACGAAAGAGCAATTGAGCTTGGCGGTATATAAACTCCTGCACGACTGTGTTGGGCAGTCTGCCCCCCGAAGCAAGTTAAACCTGACAACACTGCAGAACCCCACTGCATTCCTGCCGCATTGAACAGAAGATGCCCTGTGTACGCATTAGTGCCTTTAGTTAAGGCATTCAAACACCAATTCCGGTCTTTTTCGGCGTGATCCACGCTGTTCGTTGGCAGATGATGCCATGGCGTTGCGTCGCTGGTTTTTGAAAACACCACTGCTAACTTAGGTGGACCCCCCACCCTGTAATAATGGTGCAGAGAAGGGGCCATAATATAATCACCACTATCTGTTCTGGTCACTGTTACTGGGTGGGGGGGTCCACCTAACTACTTTGTGCGCGGTGTATACCCGCCCGTGG